GGGGAGGGCAGTCTTCTTCCGGTTGACGGACTACTTGAACTCAGCCCTTTACCGCCTCTGCGCTCTCTAGCGGGTCCCTCTCCTCTCCAAGGCTTAGTCCTAGGGCATTCTCTAATCGTCTGTGCTCTAGCCATCGCGGCAGGACCATTGAGGAAAAATCAAGTAGTCCGTAAACCCTGTTTGTGTACGTGACAAAGCCCACAAATACCGAAGCAAAATTTGACAACTGACAAATGTCGGGTTTTTGATTCATGCCGTGAAGTGAAAAGTGTGGGACGTAATCCACATGAACTTTTCGATTTGACGCTAAAAAGCTGGACAGTTAATGTGTTTGAGTTTACATAGCTGTTTTTCTTGTTTTCGTGGTTCGCAACGCTTTCCCTAGCATAGCTTAAATTATACGTGGAATTAAGGTTTTTCCGAGCCAGTCTAGAGTTTATCTCACTCGTCAGATATGATCGGCGGAGATGAATTCAAGGTGCCGATGTTGCCAAGTAAGTTATGTAGTATGTGTACAGTGTTTAAGGTAATTATTGTGTAGTTTTGTGGCAAAGATGACTGAGGCTGTTTGCTATTTAGAGCTATTCAAAGCAGTTTAGCTCTCTGTTTCAGATAAAATGGCGCTGGTAAGCACTGGTGGTGAGAACAAATCGGAACCGCAACGTTGCTCAAATTTGAAGGTGCGTGAGTCATTCTCCTGCATTAGCTTCATGTCCTTTCAGCACTCATCTGTTGCATCCTATTTGGTGTTTTATTGTCAAATTTAGGCTCCAATTATGCTGCTTACTGGCCACGAGGAAGAGATTTTTGCTGCTCGTTTCAGTACAGATGGCACTTGCCTTGCAACTGCTGGGTTCGATCAAAAGGTTTGGATCATAATTGCTCTTTTACTGACCTTTTTGAATAATCTGTAATGTTGCGTGTTCAGATCTTCTTATGGAATGTATACGGTGATTGCGAAAATTTCTCAGTGATTCGAGGACATTCTGGCGCGATCATGGACATTCATTTCAACACAGATTCCAGGTATTGGCACAATTTTTGGAACAAGTTTAACATTGCTTCCATCTATCCGTCTTTATTTTCAACCGTGTGTTCTTCTTGAATCTTGAAAGGCAGCTATCCCGTTGATGCTAATCAAAAATTAATGTAGAGGAGCCGATTAGTGCACAGTGAAAAAAAGACGAGATATTTAAAAAATTCGGCGAAGGAGGTCCTCTTTTCGATTCCGGAATGAGCGAGTTCACCGAGTATAGAGGTTTTTCGGGTGAAGGTAAACACTGGCATCATGCTAGCGGCTATGGAGAGTCGGAGCCTTGATGGCCGATATAACAAAAGAGAAAGTCAAAAGATAGCTATACCTGGTCATCTCAAACGCTGCATCATTTCCACGTGCCGGTGGTGGGTGTGTATGAGAATTTGAGGGGCTTCTGAGACACATTCAGCGCTTTATCACGCCGTTGATAGCGTACCTTTAAAGAAACTGCCACCTATAGCTAATTGGACCCTCCTTTATTTTCTCCACCTCATTTTCTCTTATATTAACGTGTTTTATCGCGATTTTCGTCTTGACCGTTTCCAAACGAACTTTTATGAATTTAATGAGCACTGCTGAGATGAAGTTTTCATATTTCCCTATTATCTATTCAGCTTGTTAGTATCTGCTGCCACGGACAAAACTGTCCGACGTATGGAAATGTGAAAACGGGAGCTTTGCTCGACGGGAAATTCAAATCACATGTTGACATCGTAAATGCGTGTCACCCGTCTCGACGAGGACCACAGCTGGGTCTGTTCTGCTGGAGATGACGGCTTAGTCAAAGTAAGATTGAAGCTCCTTAATTTTTTCCACCCTATACTTTCACCTTCATACTATTTTCTACCAGCATCGCTACTAAATTTAGCACAAATCGGGGGATTAGTTTATTGAATTAATGAGGGAGCTTTGTCGGAATCTTATTATATACGAACCTCTTCTCAAATGGCCAGTTATTGTTTTCTTCAGATAATGAGCATTAGGCTAAATGGGTTTTTAATACGGCCGGAGTAATTTCAGGTGCACGACGTACGACAGAAAAATGCTGTTAAGACCTATGAGAACAGATTCCAGCAATTGGCTGTAACATTCAATGATACAACAGACGAGATCTTTGTTGGCAGCCCAACAGACGAGATCTTTGTCGGCAGCATTGATAGTGATATTTATGTGAGTTTTTCGTTACCTTTCCTGTCACCTTCCCATTATTTATTTATAATGTTATCGTTTGATGATTATTGCGTAAGACATTAGTGGGGGGGGGGCTGTTTGGTCTTCCTACGCGCTCCAGTTCGATCTTGAATTAATCTGAACAGACACATCGGGCGAATAGTAGATCTGAACAGAACGTGGGCGAACGGTGGGAGGATAGGCCAATTTAGTCCTTTATCTCTTACGAATGGGTGGAAATAAATCATGAGATACGGTCGGACTCACTAGTAGTGGAAGCAGCAATTTCTGAAACGTCAGCTGAAAGAATGTGTTTTAGCCAATTAGTGTCTGATCGTGCATAAATTGAATAAAAAAATTGCCCAGACAATAACAGAACTCTTCAAAAGTTTTTCCGCCACGTTGACATCAGTAAACTTATGGGATTTGAGCGATGTTTTTATGTGATTCATGTGTTCTTTCAGTGTTGGGATATGAGACGCGATGATATTTCTTATGTAATGCACGGCCACAAGGATATAATTACTGGTTTGGCACTCAGTCCAGATGGGAAGTTTTTGCTGTCTAACAGTATGGACTGCTCAGGTAACTGTTTTATGTTATACCCATAACGACAATAAATAGAAAATGTAGTAATGGAAATGACCATGAGAAATGAAGAAAAAGGATTTCGACTTCAAGACATCTGATGAAATCGCAGGATGTGGTTTTTAATTGTTTTCAACAATTTTAGCTTCTTGTTCCAGCTACGTTTTCTTTAGAACTTTCTCATTGGTGGTAGGATAGCCATACACAAAACCCAGCAAATTCATTGCATTTAGGCTCGAAATAGGTGTGAGGGTGTGAAGGGACAAAAATTCTATAACTTTGCTTCCTATAAATTACAATGTGTATAACGATTTTCTTTTTCCTTCTGTTTCTTTATGCATTCTAATCGGTCCATACTTGTTTGTTTACTTATCCCTTTTTAGCGAAAATGTGGGATGTAAGACCTTTTGCACCACAAGAGCGTTGCCTTAAATCGTTCTATGGCCATCAGCACAATTTCGAGAAGGTTGCCCTACTTTCTATTTTTTACTTACTTCTATGACCGAACTTATCATCACCAATTCATTATAGAATCTACTGAAATGTGGTTGGTCTGGTGATGGTAAACGAGTGACGGCTGGGTCAAGTGATCGATTTGTGTACGTATGGGATGCATCATCTCGCTATATACTTTACAAACTGCCAGGGCATTTAGGATCAGTGAATGCCACTGATTTGCACCCAACTGAGCCTATATGTAAGTTTCTCTGGTCAGTTCTTCACGGCATTTTATAAAG